AGAAATTGTTAGCATTCAAGATGATAAAAGATAATATGGGATATTACCAGTGGGAGCTGCCAAATGTGAAGGGAGAAGAACACACCAGGAATGGTGTTGGAAGCGACGACATTGGAGGCGAAGAAGGCTGGGCGCATTGAAGGCCATGACGGCATTGACCGGTGGCAACCTGCTGTAGTTTTGTGGGTAACCTGTAAACGGTGGAAAGTGGACAAAAAAAAAGAAGATGAAAAATGGCTAGGGCTGGGGAGATTAAAAACTGACTTTGCGGCGTTTACAAATACAAATGCCACTACTGGTAACCAACTCCATTAGCTTGAGGTATCCCCCGGGCTTCATAGCTTCACCGGCTATTCTGTCGGGCGCATTTAAGTCCCTCTCGATCATTCTCACTCGGCATCCACCCTGCAAAATGTAAGCAAAATTCGAAGGTTTTATTATTAATAAGTTTTAGGTTCAAATCTTTAGAGCAACAAAGGGAGAAATTGAGATGAGGAAACTTGGGACCTTTCCAAGAGAATAGGAAAGAGCGGCACCGGCAATTCCGGCGCCAACTATGATAATATCTGTGGTCCCAACAGCCTCACAGTTTTCCTTTGGAGCATCCATAGGAGCTGGTCTTTTCAGCTTGCTCAGTCCCCTAAATCTTACTAGATAATTGTAGTACAAGAAAACAAGCCCCAAAAGAGAAACTATAACACCTGCAACTCCAACTATGTAATGGTCAGCCATTGATTTAAGAACAACAAAATTATGGAATGAATAATCGATAAGAAGGGCTTCAAAGAAGAGGGAGCAATGGAATTGGATTTGATTCACAAATGGCTTATCCTTTTGCAGGATTGGCAAGTGACAGAGTAATTTATAGGCTTTTTTACTGAAATATCCCCCTTTGGGGTAACATGTGTGAAAGACACATAACACAAGTCAGATGACAATGACAGTATAAGTATGTAAATTTTGTTTTCAATCATTCAATAAGTACATGTTTGAAAATTTATATTTAAATACTTGAAAAAATAATGACTAAACAATATGAGATTTAGAGTTACTGACTTTGAACATTCATTGATATGCGCTAAACTTGATCATACTCAAGTTCTACTAATGTAGGATACTTAAATATCTCTGTCAATTATTGCTTTCATTGATATGTGCACGTTTATACTCTTATCATTTTTGTCTTCGTTCATGGCTTCTGTAAGGGGAAATACTTATGTGCGGCAGTCTTAATATACGGTTAAAAAAAGACGTTACTAGTTTTGTTATTGTTTAAATAAAAAACCGGTAAAAAAAATGACCGTAAATATTATTAGGCACTAAAAAATGACCAGTTTTATTATTATTAGACGTTTTAACCGGATTTTTAAAAAAAATGACCGGAAACATTATTAGGCATTAAAAAAATGACCGAAAACATTATTAGACGTTAAAAAATAACCGAAAATATTAAAAAATAATGTTTTAAATAAAAATAATAATATTACCGATAAGTTTTTACCAGTTTTATTATTTAAACAATAATAAAATCGGTAACGTTTTATTTTAACATAGGTGTAACTGTAGAGCTGTCTTCTGTCAGTGTAAGTGTCGGCTGCCATTCTCTTTGATTGAATGTGGCTTATCATTCTGCAGCGTTGGCAAATGGCAAGTAGCATATGGTTTTGCGTCCACAATAATATGTATATTTTAAAAATAATAATAACATGTTATGATTATGATTCATGATTAGGATACTAAATGAGTTGAACATTTTGTAAATAGTTCAAGTTTGATTTAGTTAAAATTTAATTAATATTTGATTTGAGTTAATTTAACTCGAAATCAAGTTCGATTCAAAACATTAATAAGTCGAGTTAAATAATGTGTAATTCGATTAGATAAGTTCTAAGTTCTCGAATAATTCATTAACCTTTTTTATATAATTTTTTAGGATGTTGATTACCTTATTTTTAGAATTGATTATGTATTCTTAAACTTTTGTTTTCAAGAATGATTATAATATTTTAGTTTGATATATTTGTAGATTGTTACTTTAATTATAGATATGTAATATATTAGTTTAATGTATGCATACAGAGTATTTAGAAAAAGATTTACAATTCTAACGTCTTCACGGATAATACTAGACCTTATAATCGAAAGATCGTTTATTTATCTCAAGTATTCAAAGATAACCATGGATAAACGACCAAGACTCGAATGAAAATATCATAGATAATAAAGGTACTTCCACCGGAAAAGTCTCACGTGCGACAACCTTAATATATTATTAAGGAAATTCGCTACCGGTTTTTTTTATAACAAAACCGATAAAAACAATTACTGGAAACATTATTATTTCTAGTGGTTTTGTTATTATTGGGCGCTTTATCGGTTTTGTTAACATATCTGGTAAAACACTATCGATTTTGTTATTTTTTTACCAATTTTGTTATTATTGGACACTTTACCGAAAATGTTAAAAAACATTAATGGTTTAAATATAAATAATAATATTTTAGATAAATTTTTACCGATTTTATTAAAAAAAAATAATAACACATTTTCTTAATCACATATTAAAATTGTCACACAGTATAACTCCCTACTTCCACCACTCGCAATCCAAATGATAAATTAATTTAACGTACTGTCTTTCACAACTTTGTCGATGGCTCAATGATTTATTCACAACCTTTTGTGTAATTATAACCTAATCATATCTCATCTTAATTTTTTTAGTAGATTTAATTATTAGATAATTATTTTATACATCATTGATGAAACTTTTTAACTCCAAAAGTATATTTATAAAATCAGATTTTTTTTTATCTAAATAGTATTTTAAAAAATTAATACATAAAATAATAATTATTTAAAAAAATTTAGATCGAGACTCTTTTAATAAATGTATATCACGTCAGAAACACTTTTCAGAAGACGTTTTTAATAGAAATTGCTTTTATAATTAATTTATAGAAGTCGATAAGAGCTTTTAAAAGTCGGACCCATAATGAAAAAATGGGTTAAAATATGAAAAAAATATTATATGTATTTTATTTAAAAAGGATAAATACACATAGTGCGTGTTAAAGACACATATTTGCATGAATATGAGCATAAGCCAGGCCGAATGATGATAATGCCTATATATTAACATTCTCTTCAATAACTCAATGTATGCATGTTTAAAGTACTATTTAAACACTTAAAAAAAAGTTCATATCTAAATAATATATGATTTGATAAACTCATAACCAAAGAATCATACCACCACGTAATCAAAGGCACGACTTGTAAAACAAGTTTTCAAAGACGTGATTGAGAGGGAATATTTTTATCTTACGTGTCAGAATAGATATTATTTCAAGAATTGATCAAAATATAATATTAATTTTTAAAATTGTGATATTCTGATAAAAGAAACATATCAAGGTTGTATGAATCACAAAAAATCTTTGATGCATTAATTATTGATAGAAACACGTGGAAGAACACATCCCGGAAACTTGAATACAGACAATTTTTGTGCATATTCAAGCTTTAGAGCTAGTCGCCAAAGTTGATGCAGACTGGACAAGAAGCGTAAGAAATCTCAAAGAGATTGACGTTTAAAATAGCATGTCTTCAAGAGACGTAATTACGTTTTTACCTTCAAATGATCTTTGTGTTCATACGAAGTTGACAACATGGGGCACCAAATATCGTATCTTCCCCCTTTATGTTGGTTGAAGGAATCCACAGTCTTCGAGATAGAATATCAATGACATAACACGTCTTATACGTTGAAACATCATATCAATTGAAATTCTTCAAATCATAAGTTATCATTGAATAGTAAGATAAAATGTCAAAAACTACAAGATATATACATGAACTTTAATGACTGAATTGAAATGTTTTTAAATTTAAATAATAATTCCAAACTTAGAGGATGTGTAGTTTAATTAAACTAAAGATTTATTTACAGCTAAGTTAAGAATATTGACTGAACAAAATCTAAAAAGAAAAGCTCAATCTAAAAAAAAAATAGTACAATTCATGATTGAATCGTTCCTGATTCGGCCGCGCATACATGATACAGCCAATATCCATTGACTCTTACATTGGATCTTTCCTCTTTATTTTACGTTTGGGAATATTACAAATTGTTATCATTCAACTTATTTTTACTCATATTTTATCACTAAAGTTCAACTTTTATTAATTTAATCACTAAACTTTAGAATTACTTCTGTTTTTGTCACTCCACTTTTAAATCAAAAAAATTGTAATGATATGATTCATTTTATTAATATTTGTGTCAACATAACGTTTAGAGGAAAAAAATTAAAATCCTTATAACTTAATTCCAAACGTCAAACCCTCATCGATCTTACCTTCGTCATCTCAATCCACAATCCCTCGTCAGGAAGAAAGTAAAGTTGGAAAACTTACAGAAAGATTCATTAAATAAGTTGACAGAAATTATATATATACATATATGGTTGACTTAGAAGTGAGGGCGACATTGTTAGAGAAGTAACAAACATAGTCAATCATGACATTGTTCAGGTAAAATATAGTTAGTTTTATGAATTTTGTAATGTTTTTTTGGTTAAATAGATTATAGATTCACGTTCAGAAAGAGATGCAAATTTAATGAAATTTAAGATTCATCGATTATTATTGTTGATAACCGAAATAACAAACAGTACGATGATTAAAATCTGAATGAACTCAATGAAGTAAGAAAACATAAAAAATAAATTTTTTTACAAGAGTTAAAAAAAGTCATTTTCAAAAAAAAAACATTTTGATCTGAAAATAACTTTTTTTAGGAAGTCAAAAGGATTTCATTTTAGTGTATCGTCGCACCATTTGTTATTTAATGGTCTAGTGATAAAAATGTCACAAGTTAAAATGAAGTGATTAAATTAAAAATGGTTAAACTTTAATTAGTAAAATAAGAGTCAAAATAAAGTTGAATGATGAAAATTTGTAATTTACACTTTATAAATATAGTGGGTAGCTCATCATCTCTTGTCCTTTCTCTGCTTTTCCTAAGCCGATCCCATCGCCTTCTTGCTTTGTTCCTGTTCTTATTTATCTGATCCTTTTGGTGTTAGGGTTTTTCTTCTAAATCTCAATCGATCCAAAACAAATACGGAAACAATAGAAAAATAGGGTCTTTTTCTCTAACAAAATTTAGGGTTTACGAAGAGCATAGGAAGATAATATGCCTTCGTTACCCTTCGAATCGATTTTTCTCCCTTTGATCCCTTCTTTGACCCATTTTCATGCCGGTTTATGTTTGTGTTCCCATCGTTTGAAACATCTTCAAAAGAGCGATCGTCGTGGTAATCTTGGTTAACGTTTTCCCATCAATTTCAGTCGTTTTTATTCCATCTTTACTTCTTTTTCTTTCGTTTCCTCTCTTCTTCTTCGCGATTCCTCTGCTTTACCGTCTGATAAACAGGGATCTAGTTTGTTTAGAAGATCCGGGGATTGGTTTCGATCGTGATCTGGAGTTTGCTCTTTCCAGTGGTTTAAAGGTCTTCAATTGATTCCGGTAGCCGTCTTTAAGAAAGGTATATTAATCTTGCTGATATAGCTGTTTAAGAAAGTTCCTCAATTTAGTATTTATTTATTTTTTTTCCGACTTTTTGCAGTATTTATGGGTTAGGGTTAATATGATATGGATGATTGAATTTGTTAGCTAAATTTGTATGAATCCCACGAATATTCTTGTGGCAAATTTGTTATTTTTCCAGTTTATTTGTTATTTTTCTTTTTTTGAATTTTGGATTGATCTTGAATAATTATATGAAAGTTTTTCAGCTTGATTTAGAATTAATTTCTGTATAATATGACCTCTAAACCAGCTATGATCTTTTACTCGCCCATGAGTTTTTCTTCTCAAGACTTGTTACAATGGTGGACTGTCCACTTTTGCAGCTAACTAGGACTTCTTTGTATTCTCTGGTATCATAAAAGGACATGTTGGATTCTAAAGAGGTAGATGATTTAAGTGGCATTAAACAGGCAATAGATCATGCTTGCTTGAATGAATTTGATGGCGGCAATACGAGTGATGTGGACGATTTACGTGCTCAGGGATATCAAAGGAAACCTCCAATGAAGTGTCTAGGCAATTCTGCATCATTTCCTTCAGGTGTCTCGCTTCCCGAAGATGATGATATTGAAACTTCGTTGAGATGGATATTCTCCGAGGACTCCGTGCAATCACCTTGCCCTCCTTCAATTTCTTTGCCGGTAAGTGCCTTTTGTTCTTGGTAAATTCTGGAGTTTTGCTGATTGCTCTTAGGAGCCTCTTAAGATTAATGAATTTACTGTTTATAAGACTAACATTGTATTATCAATGAATTGGATGAAGGCTCTTGTTAGCTTCTTCGAATCTAGAGTTGGTTATTTGGTTAATTTAAAATTTCCCTCCGTTCTGACTGGCATTTATATTTCAACAGTCTCCATTAAAGCTAGTGTCTGCCCTTAAAGGCAGCCGTGAGAAACAGGGTTTACCAACAAAAGAGCTTAGAGTAACATGGGCCCCTGATGTGTATGATCCTCTCCCGACTTCTGTATTGCATACAGTTAGCCGCAAAAAGCAGCAGAAGTCAAAGAAGATCTATGACAAGAAGAAAAATGGGAAGAAAGTGAAGAAGGGCAACAACTCCTCCCGTGGTGGCAGTGGTGGCAGTAAAACCAACAAACACTTCCGTAGAGGCTTTACGAGTTCGGATAGGTGGTATGACTATAAACCACTCGAGGTCGACTCCTCAGGCAACCTTAATGTTTTTAAGGTTGGTAGTACAGACCCCTATTGTGGTACCAGTTTTCTGAAAACATCACCAACTACGATGCACTACTCTGTCGCCGAGGTCCTATGAGTAAGGCCTTTGGTTTTTTCTGACCCATGTAGATAAATAAAACCTTTTTCACTGCATTCTCTGGGATTAAAATTTGAAAGGTTGATTTTAGTTGCGATTATGTTATCGTATTCTTATTGTTATGTTGTGGGTTTGAAAATTGTCATTGTGCTGTGTCTTAGGCTGCACCTGAACTATATTTTGCTATGTAAAATAGAATATTACTAATACTTCTTTAATGAGATGGAAAGTATTGGAAATCTTATGCCCTAAATATTTTATTAGCTTTGAGAAATTACATGGCATTTGCTGTGGAATGTGCCTTCCAAGTCCATAAGAATGGCATCTAATTCTCTGCTTTTGGCTTATAACAAATATAGCCTTAAAAGTGAATGCAGAATCCATCTACTCAAAACACCAAAACGATATAATATATAAGTTATAGATATCACTTGAATGTTCTTCATGGAACCTGATGTTAACTTTCAGTCTTGGGAGTAAAAATTTTCTTACAAGCCAAGTAGAAAACTTGAGTGCAAGACAATTAACAGTTCCAACTAGGAATATAAGATGAGTACAAATAGGTGTGTTTCCCCATCCTGAATGAAGGAATCATAGGTTTCAACTTCCATTGTATGTATTTCAACCTTTTTGAATTTAATTAAATTCCTCATTGGCTGCATCTTTTAACTGAAATACCCTAAACCTGTTTCAGAAAGCTCGGATCCTGATCTTGGTGGAGGTCCGAATCACCTTGGTTTGGCGTTTGGTAGGGTCTACGAAAATAGCCCATCCATGCAAAAACTTAGCATTCATTTCTTCTCTAGCCTTCTCAGCTTCTTCGATGGACTTTTATGTAACAAAACCGAACCCTTTTGACCTTCCAGTGGCTCTCTCTCTTATAATTTTGGCTGCAAGATCATTTGAAGCAATATATCTTGATGAAAGCAACACAAAAAAATTGTTGCAAGAAAGAAAACATAATTCCCAAAGACCAAATATAAAAAGAATTCCGACGACCAAATAAAAAAAGAAATGATGAGGGGAAAGGCTAAATTACCTTCAACAATCTGGCCGAATGGGTTAAATGCATCTTTAAACTGTTCATCTGTTGTTTCTTTTGAAAGACCTGTTTAATAGACACGGATATGGAGAGATTATGATAAAATAAAATAAAAAGTGTCAGCAGGCAGTGATGAAAGGAAACATAAAATAAAATTTAACAAGAAAGGCAAATAATGTCTACTTCTCTTATTGGTTACATTCCAGAGGAACATAACCACCTTGAGGATAAAAAGAGTAATTCTGACTAAAATTTGGAAGTGCCGTTGTGCACCAACTGTTGGAGAATCCATCTGTGAGTCAATTTGCCATTGAACTATAGAACTAGTGTTCCATCCCTATAATTTCTACCATCCATGCAGAGATTAGATGATCTCCCCATCCGAATTTTAACAATCTCAGATGTCGACCGAGTTCACCCAAAAATGGAAGATATGTTTTGAAGTCCAGAAATCAACTGAAGTGCCAGAGGGAACTACTGTGGGCACCTTGCACACCCCTTCTCCTATTTCTTGCTTGCTAAAGTAGTTATTTTAATTAATGCTAGCTTCTGATGCTGACTAAAGACCAAACCAGCTATTGCATTTCAAGGTCTCCTGAGGGTTGCTAAAAACCGGAATAGAAAATCCCTAAATTGAAACCTTGGTTGGAAATGTCCAAGGGCACATTGTATTGACCGAACACCATATCCACTACTACTAAAATACTTAAATCATTTGCCATTAGAGTAGGAATGTGATTGCAAAGCATGATCCATACAAGTGACAAGACAAATACTAAACTATTTTTGGAATGACTTATTAGCAGTGCAAAGCCAGAATTTGACTTTAGGAGGGTCCAGAATAAAACTAAAATTATTGGGGAACCAAAGGCGCCTGCCTGCCCCCTTGGTTCTCGCCTATTAATTAGGTAAAAAAAACTTTTAGCTCTTCTTCTATCAGAAATCGTAGTTATAATAATCAGGTCATGCCTGTAAAGCTTTTTGCGCTACATAACTGTATGCTTTATGTTTAATTCAATCAGTAATTTTCGCTCCCCAGCTATGTCACACCCCGATTTTAAATGAGAATTTAAAATCATTTTTTTTAATTTCAATTAAAGGATTAAATTGATTTTTTTTTGAAAATTTATGGGTCAATGTTCGAATTATAGGGAGTTCGGGGACTTGAACCGAATTTTTACCCATTTTTATACCCAATGAAAAATATATATTTACCCGATCGGTCTAACCCTGATTTTGTCCCCAAAATCAAACCCAAATCCCTAAACCCCCAATTCCCTTCTCCGCCGACCCCCCTTTACCGCCACATTCTATCACCGTCCGACCACCCCAGCTCGAGCCACCGCCACCAATAGACTCACTGTCAAACGGTGATCATAGCCCGACCTCTAGCCCGTCGTGTATCGCCACCGTTCACCGTGGAGGAGCCAAGAAAAGGCCGTCGAAAATCCCAGTCACCGAGTATATCATCGACGATTTCGACGTTGCCTTGCCTCACCGCCTGCACCATTGGATTCACCATCATCGTACGCTCAAAACCCGACCTGTTTTGTTCACCGTTGAAGCGTCGTCGCCAATCGCCGACATAGGTAAGTTACCAATCGGTTTTTGGTAATTTTGGTATGGTTTGATGATGATATTGAATTAATTTTGGGTGTAATTGAAGCATTGGTTGTATTGGGAGTAATCGGTCGGAGAAAATGGCCCCTGTCGCCGCCACACGCTGACAGTGCGCGTAAGGGTCTCTGGCCGGTCCAGGACTTTTTGTTGTAATGTTTTTATCTTTCGAACTCATTTAATTTGGGTGACATGTGCCTATGTTTTGAAAATACTACTTTTGTTACTAATGTTTGATTTGTCTCGATATTGATTTCGAAATATTTTATTTTTATGACTTTAATTTACTGAATTTGAGCTTTGATGCTATTAATTATATTTTTAAAATGTTTAATTATAAGTCGGATTTTAAGTTATCGAAGAATGGCTTTGAAAATTTTTATTGTAATATGTTAGATTTGGTCGTGACGCATAGGTCGGGTCTAGGGGGTTACAAGTTTTGGTATCAGAGATTTTGGTTTTCAAAACATCGGACTGTGAATGGGTCCAAACTGAAAATACGGTTTTGAAATGTTTTACAAAACAAGTCATGAAGGTCATGTCACCAAGTTTTTACGAGTTTAATTGTGTTCGGAACTCCTAGTGTCAATCTAACCCTAGGCTTTATCTTCTGTAGTAAATTGGAGAGCCACCAAGATGAGTGCTAGGAGTGGTCGTCGACCTGGCTGTGGGCGAGGTCTAGTAACTAGATTTGCAGACCCAGTAGATGAGATGCGTGTAGATCCCCCGCCTCCGATAGATGATCCTGCTCCTACGACCCCGACGAATCTGCCTTGTCTCTCTGGTATTGGTTTGACTACTCCGATTAGACGAGCGACCGTTGTTGAGCCTGAGTCTACTAGAGTTGTATTAAATGAGAATATCGGACGTCAATTTCTCTAGTTGATTCAGGGAGCGGCAGAGCTGCAGGTGTTGCACCCGAGGTCCCAATCTTTCAGACTTTTATTGTAAATGGAGTTAGGACTTTTAGTGGCCCTGATTGAGGTCAAGGATTGGCTCTGTGATACTAAGCGACATATGGATCAACTAGGTTTTGATCTGCAGTGACGTTATTTAGGAGTTGTCTCCATGTTGGACGGGAATGCCCATACTTTGTGGGAGTCTGTTGTCAGCAGTGTTCTGGTCGATCGTTTGACTTGGGATTTCTTCATGGAGCGCTTTAGGAACTGTTTTTTGGGATAGTGTTATCTAGCTCAGAGATGATAGCAATTTCAGGAGCTTGTTCAGGGAGATATGACCGTTTCTGAGTACGAGATCGAGTTCTTGATGTTATTAAAGTATGAACTCAGTCTGGTACCTACCGAGAGAGATAGGTGTCGGAAGTTTGCTTAGAGACTCCGGTACAAGTTGTGTCATCAGGTAGTTACTCATCAGGATGAGGTATTTTATGTTGTCGTCGGGAGAGTGAAAGACATGAAGGAAGTCGAGGCTTCAACACTTGATATTGATAGGGTAAATCGAGATCGATCTAGGAGGCCTTCTGGTCAATCTGTGCCTTCAGCACGCCCTGATAAAAGAACTCGTACTGCTGCTCATCAGATAAGTCATTCTGATTCGAGGCCTGCTTCTCTTCCACCTCCAGTAGCTAGTCGAGGTGATTCTTCATATTCCACTCTGAAATCGAGTTGCGAGTTCTGTGGAAATCGACACGGTGGAGAGTGTCGTAAGAAGATGAATACCTGTTTTCGTTGTGGATCCAGTAAACACTTCCTGAGGAATTGTCCGCATCCAACTCCTGTCGATCAGACACTTGCTCAGACTCCTATAAGTTCTTAGGCCTCTTTTCAGACTCCAACTAGGAGTCACAGTCAGGGTAAGACTTCCGAATTTGTTTCTAGGGTCGATAGTAGAGCACAGTCGCAGAGTATATGACCAACTATTTCTGAGGCTCGACAACCTGCCCTTGTTTATGCTACCCGACGTTCCAATGATCGAGTTGAGCCCGAGACTTCTGCAGGTATATTTATTATTGATTATGTTTCCTGTCATGCATGTCTTATAACACATTTCCTATGTTTGAGTTTCGTATCTTGAGACCACTCAGACTTTTGATTAAGGCACCGAGACCCTTGTTTTTGTTCTGAGTCTAATGAGATTCTTTGTTATCGTCAATAGAGTAATTAACCTTTATCCTATGAAGAACCCTTAGAGACCTATTTTTGTTTCCTATTCGAGTCTGGTGAATTTCAATGACGAAATTCTTTTAAGGGGAGGAGAGTTGTCACTCCTCAATTTTAAATGAGAAATTAAAATCATTTTTTTATTTTAATTAAAGGACTAAATTGATAATTTTTGGAAATTTATGGGTCAATGTCTGAATTATAGGGAGTTCAGGGACTTGAACTGAATTATTATCTATTTTTATACCCAATGAAAAATAAATTTACCTGATTGATTTAACCTCGATTTTGTCCCCAAAATTAAACCTAAATTCCTAAACCCCTAATTCTCTTCTCCGCTGACCCCCTTTACCACCACAT